TCATTCGGGAACAGGATTCAAAATAGTTGACTGTGAAAGAGGCTTAGCAGCGAAGAAGCTGGGATGTGACTGTATTTGTCCTGTGAGAATCTGTCTTAGCTACTGACTAATACCAGGTGTAAGTTTGTAGTAAGAGATGATAACAAAGCAGAGCTTTCAAAAAGGACCCAGGGTTAGTTTCAGGTAAAGATTTGGCACATTCGGCTTCCCGCTCGTGGCTGCGAGCGACTGAATAGGCCAAAAGAAAAGGTTATTCACCTGTTAGCCAGAGAGCTGGGCCAGTGCCCCAGTGCATCTTTACTTCTTCTTCTGGACTTGGCGGGGGGAGAAAGAAAGAAGGAAAAAACAGGACTGTGTTTTAAGGAAATTGTCAGGAAAAACGAGAATATTGATAGAAGCATAGTAAGTAAAAGCAAGGATGGAAGGAAGTGAAAGGATACGGTATCTTCTTGAAGCTGGAACACCTTTCCATAAACTGATGGCATTGTCACGTCTGAATAGTTAAAAAGAACTACTGAAGGGTGGCAAAAAAGACAAATTTGGCCAGTTCATTACTTTTTTGGATGGTTTTGCACCTGAGTGTTGCCTCCTTTGTCCTGTTTTCATCACGCTGCTCAGTTTCTGCTAGATGGCCTTTACAAACAGCACATTGGCCTGCCCTTTAGCTAACACTGTAAAGCTTGTTGTGCTTCTGGATCTTGGGACAGAAGCGTTTGTTGAGTAGCAAAGTTGCTTTTCTGAAATGCCCGAGTGGCTGTGGGTTTGTTCCAAGTGAGGTCCTCGTGGTGCACTTGGCGGGTGCCCTTGCCTTTGGTGGCTGCGCCTGCCAGGATGCTGGCTCTGCCCTCCTGGAGCGGTGTTGCCCTCAGCAGTGCAAACAGCCCACCAACCTCTAGACTGTGCAGAAGGGGAACAGCAGCATCGGTTCTGCTGCTGAAGAGAGGAGAAGCTGCTGGCTGTACAGGAGAGCCATCAAGTCACAGCAGGAGCGGTGGGTGGGTGTGCACCGACAAGGAGGGCGAACCTTTCCTAACAGGGGAGACGATTACCTGTCACCTGTGACTGGGGAACAGTTCCTAGAGACAGTATCCTTTTGCTTTGTCAAAAGCTGTTTGCACTTAACATCAGCATTTTTGGTTGTCATGTTTTTGTTGACCAGCTGTAATCCTTACACTGCTCTTCTTAGCACTGTGTGGTTTTTTTCCTTTCCTATATGATGTGTAAATTCTGTGTTACTAAGTGAAAAGCCTTTTGGAAAGCAGATTGAGCAGGATGGTTGCAAAAACTACCACTCTGTTACCTGTAATGCTCTCCGTGGGGGTGGCCTTTTGTTCTCTGTAACTTTGGGGTTTTTTTTTAAACCTTTTAAGATAAAAATAGCTTCTGAGTGAAACTGAAGGGGTACTCCTGTCCTGTAGAACCAAACTTACGGTGTTTGTTGGTGCTCTTTGGGGCTAATAGCTCTTCCTGACCTATTAATGGCCTTTCCTGAAACATTACCTTTCCCTGGAGTAGGGAGTCACTTCATTCATTGAGTTTATGGAATTGCCAGGGCAAAGGAGGCCAAGTGTTTCCCTGTCTTCCCAGGGTTTATCTCCAACATGACCATCCAGCGGCAGTTTTTTCCAAACGATGAAGATCAGACTGGCGCAGCCAAAGCCCTCTTGCGGCTTCAAGACACCTACAATCTGGATACGGACACCCTCTCAAGAGGGAATCTTCCAGGTAAGAGGCATTGTGATGTTCTTTTCAGAAGACACTGAACTTTTACGAAACACCCTGATTACAGCTCGTTTGACTGTTTCATCTCTAACTGCGCGGTGTGACGGTACCAACAGGAAAACCTCTGAGCTAGGTGGTAATTAATGAAAAGCAGCGTGATGCGGGTTGTCGAACACGGGTTGGTGTAGGTGTCCGGTTTAATTCTGCCACGCCTGGAGAGAGAAGCCTCTGGCTTCAGGCTGCGCCGGTGAGGGGAGCCCAGGAAGAGCTGCCCCGCTGCGGCACGCTGTCGGGTCTGTGGCCGGGCAGAACACAAGTGTCTTTCGGAACGGAGACTCTTCCTTTGTCCTCACTCACTCTCCTCACGTGCTCGTTTTCTGCTTGTGCTAGAACAGGAGAAATTCTTTGTGGTTGAAGTCTGCATCTTTTTTCCTAGCTACAGTAAGATAATTCAGCGTTAATAGTTTTTAATAAGAAATAATAGCAGTAAAACCTTGCCTGGGTGAGGGTTTTCCTTGCGTTGAAGTAGTTGTGCGCTGGCAGGCAGCTGGTTTTGTCGCACAACGTAACGTGTTTTCCCAAGAGGGTTTTATCGTTCATTATCCCTTTCCCTCTCACGGGTCGGATGGACCTTTCGGGTTGGGAGCGACTTGGGGTTCTTTGAGCTCAAACTTCATGGCATGTATGAACTGAAAAACAAAAGTCAGAGCGCCTACACAGACCTGAGCTTATGTCATCTTTAGGTGTATGTGCAGGAGAAGACATGCATCTTCCTTGTTAGCAGACTCTCTCTGCTGAGTTTTCCTTGTTTCCTCTGTTTGAAAACAGTACTGTGCCAACTGGCGGAAAATCAGCTCGGTGCAATCCATCTGTGTTTTTGCAGGCACTCATTGTGGTCAGATGCCTAATAAAATTAAGGGTAATTGGCTTTATATGTTATGAGGTATAGCCTTGCTTTTGGGTTTAGTTCAAGGCTGTCGCAAAGACCAGCAGATCCATCCTGATGCAATAAGCCATTTGTGGTGCTTTTGTGCCGCCTCAGGAAAGCGGGAAGGCGAAGTGCTTCAGGTGGTGTCGTTTAGTGGCTCTTTGGGAGCGATGCGCTGCCCAGACTCCGTGTGATGGAGTGTAATTGCAGAACCTGAAAGCTCTAGAGTGGAAAAGAGGGTCAGTCTCTTCAGGGCTCTGGAGAGGAACATCCGGCACGGTCGCTTGGTTGCGCTCCTTGTCTTCCTTCCCAGGGCATTTCTGTTTGGCCGGGTCGCCAAGTTTTCATCAGAATCCTGACCACTGTGCTGTCGCTCGTTCATCCCCTTTCCCGCATTACAGGCTGTGCTGTTTCTTTCTATTAATTATCAGCCCTATTTGAGGATTGCTGCCTTAAGCACCCTTTTCAGAGTTGCCTTTTCACGCGTGGGTGTTACGCTGCTTCTCGCCGCACCGGGCGATGGCCCTGTGACCTGTTTTCCCATGCCAGAGGGTCTGTCGGAGAGCATGCCGCCAGCCCCGATTCCCTCATCCTTGTGGCAGTGTTTCTGAGCTTCAGCCTCAGGAAACAAATCCCGGGCCGTCATGGGATTTGTGAGGTGTTTAATCAGGGAGAAGAATCAAAGTTGTTTCTGTGATACTGCTTTTCGTGTTCTGGCTCTTCAGCTATTTCATCTTCTTGAGGCACGTCTTCGGCAGAGTTTCCCTGTTGGAATGCAGCTGGGGGAGCTGCTGTTGGACATTCAGGATGTATTAAGAACGTAATTTTAGCTGTAAAACTGGCAGGTCTTGTTTCCTTTTTACAAGATTAAATTTGGTTTTTCATTGGGCCTTAATTTACAGTGGCAAAAATAGGAATCTGTAATTTGCTTACTAGGGCTTTAATCTTTCAGAGGTCTCTTGAAACTGTTCTAAAAATGCCTAACATCAGAAATCGTGAGCAGCTGGGAATTTACTGACTGATGTTTTCTTTTTTCCTCCCCCGCTAAGTTGTCGCTAACAAGATGCGTTTCAGTAGTGTTTAGAAAGCGGTGACACGGTGCCTTTGAAAACAGGTTTCTGAAGCTTCGTCTTTGGCTCGCTGTTCCTCTTGATTAAAGTGTTGGGGGTTTTGAAGAAGGAAGGCTTTATTTTCTTTTATTTTCCGCTAATGGTAAAGACATTGAGCGAGTTGCTGGCATTCTGGCAGTGGAAAGCTGCGTCTAACCGCTGCCGTCTTCTGCCAAGGATTTACAGGCTGTAGGCACTTCGGGCTTCAGCAAGTCGCCGACGCTGAGGACCGCAGCGTGGGCAGGAATCAGCTGTGCCGCGGAGAAGAAGAAACACCTGAACGTTGCTTCGGGGAGTGGTTCGGCGTTGGGTGTAAATTCTGTTTGCTTTGCTTTAAATCCAGGTGTGAAGCACAAATCCTTTTTAACGGCCGAAGACTGCTTCGAGCTGGGAAAGATTGCCTACACTGAAGCCGACTACTACCACACCGAGCTGTGGATGGAGCAAGCTCTGAAACAGCTGGATGAGGGAGAAGTGTCTTCTGCAGATAAAGTCTACATCCTGGACTACCTGAGCTATGCTGTGTATCAGCAGGGGGATCTGGGCAAAGCCATGATGCTCACCAAACGCCTCCTGGAGCTGGGTAGGTGGGGGAGCGTGCCGCTGCTCCGCAGGATCCGGCTCTGTGCTTGTGCTGGTGTTCGGTCTTGCGTTGGGGTTATTAAAAGGGGGTGACTACTGATGCTTCCATCCACTTCTTGGTGTAGTTTGCAGTAAAACAAGACTTGTGTTACCCTAAGTAAGGTTTTACTACCGGTTTAAATGGGCAGCTACAGTCTAAACGGCTGTGTCGCAAAGTCTCATGGGTAAGGATTGCTCCTTTCCATGGAAGGAGCTTCTGCCTCCTGTTGGCTTCCATCTACCCATCTTAGTCATTACTGCCCGCAGTTGGCTGTCTCTCACTTTCCTGTGTTGAGATTACCTCCCCTTGGAGGGAAGAACAAAATGAACGAAATTGAAACTAAGTTAGCAATGCTAAAATCTCCGCGGATTATTCAGGGCAAATTAAGTGTACTTGAGCGAAAAATACAGGGCACAATACGGCGAGCAGTCCGTTTTTATGAAATACAGAAAGTATTTATGCTTCCGTAAATATTCCACTGATTGACTGTACGAAGGATGCCTTGGGAAGTTCCGAACTCAGCCTAATACAGTAAAGGCTAACGAGAACCATTTATTAATGAACTGAAGCAAATTCTCTAAGTTCAGTGATTGGTAAAGCTTTGTCACCGGGAACCTTAATTCCCATCAGGGAAGGGTTTAGGTTTAAAGCCAGTCATGCTGTCCCAGCTCTCTCCTGTCCCATTCCCCTTCCCTTTCCCTCTCTGGTCAGACTGGCCAGAACGGCCAAACCCTTTTGCTTAGCACCTGGAGCCCTGCGTGTACTGAGGATCCTGAGCTCACAGCGAGCGGTTCCCTGACTGGGAACACGTTGAGCTTAGCTCCGAAAGCTCGCCGCATGTTTTCCTGCGGACGCGTAAGGACGCATGCATGCTGCAGGCTAGCGTGGCTTCCAGATCCGCTTTAGTTGTAACTCTCTGGTGAACGCTCTCAGACCAGAATAGATGTTTCTAATTTTGGTTTGAGGAGCAGCAGTGTGCATCTGTTTTGCTTTTTGTAAATAGGCTCTTCCGGATCCTTCTTCACAAGCTGGAAACCCGCCAGTGATACTTGTCTGTTTCTTTGTCAATAGATCCTGAACATCAAAGAGCAAATGGGAACATGAAATATTTTGAATATATCATGGCTAAAGAAAAAGAAGCAAATAAGTCCAGTACGGATCCAGAGGAGCAGCTGGAGAAGGAAACTGAGGTTAAGAAAAAGGATTACCTGCCCGAGAGAAGGAAGTACGAAATGCTGTGCCGTGGGGAGGGTCTCAAAATGGTAAAGTGGAGTAGACTGTTTTCAAATGTCTGAAACCAAGCGTAGCACAACAATGTCAAGAATCTGTGTGTGGCGTGAAAGCGAGGAAGTTGTTCTAGCAGTTGGCTGAGCGCGTGGAGCTGAGGATTAGCACGTGTTGGATTTCTTCCCTCTTTCGTTCTGCCCAGTAGACAAAAAAATAATGCTGCCCTAGGCACTGCTGGCTCACTTGGACGCGCTACGTAATTGTAATGAACTGAGTAAGCGTGCTGCGAGTCTAGATTTACTAGACTTGAACGAGGGTGGGTTTTAGTGAGCGTGTTTCATGGGACTGGGTAAAGTACTGCTTGTAGTGGTACTACAGGGTAACGGTCATGTGCTGAAAGTGATGGTGTCTCCAGCTTCTAAAGCGCGTCTTTAACTTGTAGCGTAGCATTAAGGTAGGGACAGCATTCTCACGACGTCATCTGCTGCTTTGGAGATGTTAACGTCGTGTGGAAGTTCTCTGATTATCTCTCGCTCCACCTTGCTTTCAGACTCCTCGGAGACAAAAGAGACTCTTCTGCCGCTACTATGACGGAAACAGGAATCCTAGGTACATCCTGGGCCCTGTCAAGCAGGAGGACGAGTGGGACAAACCTCGAATTGTTCGCTTCCTTGACATCATCTCCGACGAAGAGATCGAAACTGTGAAAGAACTAGCAAAGCCAAGGGTAAATGCCTTATGCTTCTTTGCCTTTTGGAACCGTAGATCCCGTGTGTAGTTTTCTGTGTGAGTGCGCGTGACTTTCTCTCCCCTTGAAGGCAGCGGCGTGCGCCGTGGTCTCGCACGTTGCTTTTCTCACCTCGCCGTAGCTCTCGGTGACGTGCTCTTTGAAGGAGACTGGGACAGCCGGAGATCCTGCGTAACTGAGAGTGGTGCAGGATTGGCAGGCAAAATGCCGGTGCGTGGTTTCAGCACACGCTGTTGGAAATGAGGAGGAGAACGTTCTGCGATGGAAAACAAACACGCTGCGGCTAGGTTTCCATGCAGTACGCCTGTCCCCTGGTTTTTGTTTGGTTTTCCGCTGTTTTTCTTTTTGAATTCTGTGTTTGACGAAGCTCTGTCGTGGAGAGGAGTGCTGGCTAGGGAGAGGCAGTGTTGCTCCGCTCCTGCAACGCCACGTGATGATATGGACCAGAATGGATGGTTTTATTCACCGTTCAGGATAAGACTGACTTCTGTCTCCCGGCTTCGACGTTCCCTGCAGGTGAAAGAGCTGTAACAAGGCAGTGCTTCAGCAGGGGTACTCGGCCTTCCGTTCATAGTTGCAGCTCATCAAATCCTATTTCAGAGCCTGGCTGCCAAGGATCTTGTTTCTGAAGGCAGAATCATCTGGGGCAGCTCAACGTTGAGAGTGAACAGGAGTGTCCGGGACACACTGAAAACTGACCAAGTTGCCTTCTGTATCCAGCTGGTGCGACTCTGCGCCTCGGGGTGTGCCTTGAAGGTGTAGTCAGTTAAATTGGTTGACACTGTTCTTCCGTCAATTACCAGTTACTCCTAAAGTAAGATTTCAACTGTGGAGATACAATTTTCCTGCTTTTTATCTTTGTTCTTAGTCTAAAAGGCTTTTCATCCAGAGAAGAGAGCTAAGCAGATGACAGTCGGGGGAGAAAGTGCATTAAGTATAGGATGAACAGTCAGCTTGGTGTGCTGCAAAGGAAAGGGGCCGTGGTCATACGTGGGCACGTGGAGGATAAGGCTGTCCTTGGCCACTACACCGAGTACTGCAGAGCCCAGGGGCGATTTTAAAGCTTCCTAAAGGCCGATGTGTTGTATTCGTGAGGTAACATTCCGAACTGCAAGCAGTTCTCTCCGCCTACCTGCAAAACATCTCTTCCCAGCCTCGCTGTAGGTGTGAACATCAGAGCCCCGTTGGTTGTTGATGATTAAGCCCCTTTGCTGCTGCAAAAGCTCTGGCGTTATGTCTGAGGAGTATGGCCGAATCACTTCTTTATAGAGTGAAAATAAGTCCTAGTGCTGAAATTAAAAACCTGTATGGATCTCTGAAACATAGCTGTTTGAACTTCTAAATGCGCAGAGATAACTCTTTTCCTGTCGAAGGGTTTGGCTCGTGGTAAAGACTGGCAGGTTCATATAGTTCATGAATGCAGAAGCATCCATGTGCTGTTCGTGTTCCGTGATTATCCTACGGCTGAGGCCTCGCAGGGCTCAGCGCTGAGTGTAGCAAGAGGATTGTGGGGTTTTTGAGGCCGAAAGGTCATCTCCTTCTCCCCGATGCTCGGGATTTTACTGAGCTGGCAGCACCAAGCCGCGTTACTCGGCTCTGGGAGTCCTGGTTGTGGCTGGATTGCTACAGGCGTCTGCATGGGGTGAGAGGAGGGGCGATGTATTGGACATTCCCAGCACCTGCTCGTTAGTAGGCGCGAGGAGGCCTTGGCGCACTTTAACAGTAGGAAACTACTGCTTCCAGTTGCTGTGGGACTCTGTATGCTCCTTTGTGCCTGGAGTTCCAAACTGTGGAACTTCGCCCACAACTGGGGCTCTGCAACTCAAGCTTCCCAGTTGTGAAGGATGGAGAGTGTCCGATAATTACGTGAACGAAGTTAAACGGCACGCACAGAGTTCTGAATCGGAGCATTAATGGACGGCATCGTCAAGTGAACAGAGCACCACGGAGGGAAAGGAAGGCCTTGACCCAAGAGTTCTCGCTCTGCGTGGCAGGAATACAGCGTAGACGTGTCCACGGGCTAAGCCGTCGGTTTGTGCTGGCAGTCGGTGTTACAGGAGTCCAGTGCTGGCGTAGAAAGAATCAAAAGGATGTAGGCTTTTACTCGTTTTGTGCTTCTGCAACACCGCAGCGTCGCCTGGATTCAGCTGAAGTGTAAAAACTCCTCTCGGAGTTTTACTCCTCTCCTCCCATGCGCGGGACGGAGCGCTGACAAAGGACCGATTGTGCATGTGCTGTGGTATCCCACGGCATCCAGCGGTTGTTGCAGCGTGAAGGAAGTGAACGCTGCTCATTTACTTTATTCAGGCGGCTGTTCGTCTCGCTGCAGAAATGGAAACATTCCTTCCTGGGAAACCTGATCTCCTCTAACGCTCCGGTTAAAAAAGCAAAGCAAACCAAAAAGCTCTCTGAGTAAAATGGGAGATTCCTTCTCCTTCCCTATCCCTGCTTTGTGAAATCCCACCCCCTCCGTGAGAGCCAACCCACGGCAGGAGGTGGCTGGGTGGCTGGCGTGGCGGCTGGCGGGACGTTTGCCCCTAGGCTTCTGAGTGGCGGCTTGCTGGGATGCAGTGCGCGCTTTGTAATGCGACTGTTCTGATGGTTCGCTTCACAGCTGAGGCGAGCCACCATTTCAAACCCCATAACAGGAGCCTTGGAGACGGCACATTACAGAATTAGCAAAAGGTAAGAGAGCTCTATGCCAGATGTCTTGGGCCTGTAATGAGTGCGTACATTCTGCTCATTATGGGGAAAAAAAAAAAAAGAGGTGGCCGAAAAAGCTTTGGCTTTGGAGTCTACCGCTTGATTGCGTGCAGGTCTGTAACAGGCTGTTACTGCTGAGTTTCTCCGGCTTTTCCTTCAGCTGGAAGTTCTGGGGGCGTGTTTTGATTCCGTCTCTTTGGTCACCTTCTCAGTGTGTTCTCCGGTGACGGTCGGTACAAGGAGCGGGTCTCTACAATCAGTTTGAAAAACACGTGATGCTGTAAAACCTTCAGTAGAACCTAGGGTGTTTTTTCTTACATTCCCTCACCGACCAAAAATTGTCCTCCCTTTCCTTGCAAAACCAAGCGGACCGCTTACAGTGCCTTGACGCCTGTAAGAGATGTGTTAGGTTGCTGCCCTGCCTGGCAGCCAGCGTGGCCCGCAAAACACGTCCGTTAGTCGCACGGCATCTCCCTCTCTGAGCTAATCCCCTTCTGGGTGGGCTCCTTCACCTCCCCCTGACACAAACCTGGCAGAAGGCAAGCTCCTTTTCACTGGGCTCCACGCTCTTTCCAGCTTGCCTGTTAAGCACTACAAGCCTTGAATTTAGCCCGCGTTTTCCAAAATTGGCTGGCTCCACAAGAAACCACCTGCCCCCCCGCCCCTCCATCCTCCCCACCCCGCTTTTAACCGTGGTGTTTGAAGAGTGGCCGCCCATTCCATCGGCGTTAAGCCGGAATGCTGAAAGGAGTTCAGCTTCTGGCTGAAGGGGAATTGTCCGGGAAACTCAGCATCACAAATTACTTGCAGAAAGTCTCTCGTTTAAAACAAAACAAAGGCAAAAAAGGAGGAAAAAAGTGAAAGGACAATTTAACCAAATTTTTCCAACCAATTTGTTTGGATTTGGATGTGGCAGCTTCAGCTTGTGTTGCCCTTCTAACATTGCTAACGGAAGAGCATTGCCTACCATCCGGACCAATCGGAACCCTTTCAAACCCCTGTGGCTTGGCACAAAAGCAGCCTACTAGGTGGGTAAGCCCTTGTCCTTTCTCTTTTTGTAGCTGAGCCGTGCTACTGTTCATGACCCTGAGACTGGGAAACTGACCACAGCCCATTACAGAGTCTCTAAGAGGTAAGGGGAACGTCTTCCCAAGGGGCATACCCCAGGCTGAGGAATTCTCTTCTGGGACTGCACCGCTTCAGCTCCACGCGTGGGGCGGATAAGGATTTTGCGTAACTTTGCTATTCTTAGTCTCTCATCAGAGGAAAGAGGGTGGCCCAAAGCAAATGGAGCTGCCGTTGAAGAAAGCAAGCGCTCTGCCGAAGTAGAAACCGGTTCTAGGCGTCCGTGGTAGCCGGACGAAGCGCGCTCTCTTGCTTAGCATGGCTTGTCCAGCGCCGCTAACATACTGAAAGGGGTCCTGCTTGCGCCTAGCATGGCGGGAGGGGCTGCCTGTGTGGCTCACCTCGGTCTTGAGACTCGCTGCTTAGAACTGGGCCCTGGTGAGCCTCTGTAACCCCGGGGAACAGCGCCCGTTAAGGCCGGTCGGTACCCTGACAGAATTCCCTTCAGCAGCAGGCAGGGCTGCTTCCTCACCAGAGCGCGTGCGGGTGGCGGGAGCCCTTTGGAAACTGCCTGCTGAGCTCCTGCCTGTTTGCTCCCTAAAACTACCCCCGCAGACTCCCTCCTGACTGACTTCAGGAACGGGCATCTTCCTGTTTGACGTGCGTGGCGTTTGATTTTTTGTTCTGGAGTTGGAAGTCTGTCCGCGCCTTGTCTGTCTTGGGTACCTGTGAGCATGTGGTTTAAGGCATTTACTCGGTTTGGGGTTTTTCCTGAAGAAACTCGTTAATCCATTTGAACGCGGTTTCTGTCAACCTTGGCGCTGCAGGAAGTAGAGAAGGTGACCAGATCACTAACGGATTTGAGAGGTGTAATTGGCCCCTCTTTAAATAGCTGATCCTTAGTGAAAGCCTGGAACGGAGCCTTGCGTTTAGTGCCCGCTGCGAGGCCCTGAAAAGTTTAAGGTTTGGGTGTTCAAAAAGCTGGCACTCTGGGGCTGCTTCCAGCACACGAATTAAATCCGATTGTACCCAGCTAAGAACCATGGGTAGAAACATCTCTCTGCTTGAGCTGGTTCAGCTTCCAGATGAATCATCGCTCCTGAAAACCTCCCCCAAAATGCTCGCTTTATGTCTTTAACAGAGGACTGCTTCAAACATTCCTTCCTCGCGAACGCGCTCCTCCCGTACGGCCTTCCTCGCGCTGAGGGGACCGCTGTTGGCTGGGCGGTACGTGGCAGGCCCTCTGAAAGGCGGCACCTCGCCAGCAGCTGGAGGAGCCACCCTCAAGCCGTGCTGCGTGCCGTACCAGAATAAACTCAACCCCGCCGACGCCGCTTTTAAAGAAGCTGCCTTTTTTTGTTGTCCCTCCCTCCCCCCAGCAGCCAGCTGGAGCTGGTAGCGTATGATGTTAGCGTTTCCACTTCAGAAATGCCACCCTCTGCTCTTGTTCGCTCCCCCTTGTCTCGCTGCTGGTACTTTCTACGCGCTAAGTACCTTTTACGAAGTTTTTTTTAACGTAAATGCCGGTATTTCATGTGACCCAAGCAGTGCTGGTGCCAGAGCGACTAGCGGGGCTGGAGGTGGGCTTTTTGCCGGATGAACCCTTGGATGGCATATAGCTCTGAGCAGTGTTCCAGGTGGTTTTCCCTAATATACTGCTTAGTCTAAAATTATTTCTGCGTCTGAGTCTCGTGCTACTACAATAATCCCTAATTTAGGAGAGGGAGGAGTAAATGTAATTACTGCTAGCTGCTTGCACTGGGTCTGAAAGATGTTAGCAGCCAGCTCTCGGTGTGAGGAGAGGAAGAGCAATCCCCCAGCGTGAATTCGGCACGCTCGTGACATGCTCTCGATTTCTGTAACACCGTGGCTTAGTTCCTGGGTCTCTTTTTACTGAGCCAAGCTGGACCCCAGAATACCGTGCCGTTGTAGTCAGGGAATTTGGGGGTTTGGCGTGGTCGTTACTAAGGAAATGCCAAATCCCTCGTGTAAGTAAAGTCACCCGTGTCTGAAACGGCCCTGCTTGGGTCTTCCCCAAAATAAGCTTGTCCCTTTTTGTGAGGAAGGTGTGTGCCCGCAGCAGACTTGTAGGGGTCAGCTGGACAAAACTGTGACAGCATGCTTGTCAGGTGAGCAACGCAGCTGAACGGAGGGACCGGGAGGAGTAGAGCCCTGTGCGTTCCGCAGGCCACGGAAGCGGATTTCCTGGCACTTATGGGGTTAAATCACGCTGTAACCCTCCACGTTCCACACCGTGTGCCTCCCAGCAGAGCGGCTGGCCCCTAAACAGGGGTTCAGTTCCCTGCTTCCTCCACCTCGCACAGACTTTCTTTGTAGCCTTGGGTAATTCACTTCTACTTCCCAAAATACGCCTGCTGCGGCATGAAAGGATGCGGTGGTCTGGCGGAAGAAGCCACTGCAGAACCAGTACAGGGCGAAGGCCTGCTTGTTGCTGCCCCTGGGTGGTGTTTCCCTGCCAGCCTTGGTGTGTGGGCCGGGCAGGGGTACTGAAGCCCACCCGTGGGAGCTGGTGGGGCTTCCCCTGCCCACGGTTAGGATGGCTTGTGTTACCTGTTCAACGTGGCTGCAAAGCATGTGGCTGCATGGCTGCTTTTTTTTGGGGTGGGGGGAAAAACGCTTCCTGTAAGTACTCCTTGGGTTCTCCTACCACCTCAGGTCAAAGGTCGCGTGGTAACGCTTCCCT